ATTTTTTTATAAGATGTGAAGTTCAGGTTTCTTTTTTTTTGCCTATAGATATTAAATTGCTCCTGCACCATTGGTTGAAAAAACTATTTTATTCCATTGAATTGTTTTTCACAATTGTGAGCAATCGGTTCGCCATGCTTGTTGGCTATTTCTGCGTTCTTTATTCTGTCCCGTTGATCTATGTGTTTGTCCTTCCACAAATACCACACAGTGTAGATTACTGTAGCTATATTATAAATCTTGCATTTTGGGTGCATGCTGTCTGGGGTATAGGCATGCTTGTTGGGCGGTGCAAAGGCAATTTATGTAACCAAAGTGTTTGTACCCCTGTAATACTCTGAAATAAGAAAACTTAAAAAAAATCTTGCAATCTGGAAGTCCGATACCTACTATTTTATTGTTCTTTTTCACAATTGTTTAACTATTCTGTCTTTGGCCTTTCCAAATGAATTTTAAAATAACCTTGTCAATAGCTGCAAAAATCTTGCTGGAATTTTTATAGGAATTGCATTAAACCTGTGTATCAATTTGGGGAGAATTGACTTTTAGATCTTTTTTGATTTCTTTTAGCAGTATTTTGTAGTTTTCAGCATACAAGTCCTAGCCATGTTTTGTTAGATTTCCATCTGTGTATTTTTATACATATCTGTAAGCTGACCTTTATTTGTATCTATATTTTTTAGGGATTGTAAATGGCATTGCATTTTTAATTTCAGTGTCCATGTGTTCATTGCAGCATATGGAAAATACAATAGATTTGTATATGTTGATCTTATGTCCTGTGACCTCGCTTTTTAATTCTAGGAGATTTTTGCAGATTCTTTGGAATTTTCTATGTAGACCATCATGTGCTCTGCAAATGAGAAGGACTTTTTTCCCTTTCTGGTCTATGTGCCTTCTAGTTCCTTTTCTAGAACTTCCAGCACTATGTGGAATTACAGTGGTGGGGCCACACCCTTCCCTTGATCTTAGAGAAAGCATTCAGTGTCTCCATAATGTACGTTAGAACCCATAGGTTTTTGGTTAGGGTCTGTATCAAATATAGAAAGTTCCACCCTATTCCTAATTTTCTGAGGGTTTTTGTCATGACGGGTGTTAAATTTTGTCAAATGCTTTTTTGCCTCAGTTGATATAATCATGTGACTTTTCTTCTTTGGCCTGTTAATTATGGTGGATTAAAGCGCTGATTTTTGAATAATGCACCAAGCTTGAATTCCTACAATAAACACTCTTTGGTCTTGGTGTATCATTCCTTTTATATATTGCCAAATTCTATTTACTAATATTTCATTAAGGATTTTTGCTTTTCTATTCATGAGGAATGCTGGCCTATTGTTTTGTTTTTTATTTTTTGTGCTGTCTTCATCTGGTTTTGGTGTCTTTTCTGGATTCTCTTGAGTATCTATTAATATTTATGTGTTTCTGCTAGCAGACATCTACTTCAAATATTTTAAAAAAAAAACCTTTGCAATAAAACAATAAACTTGGTCTAAAATATTGATTACCTAAAAAAGATTTCACTGCTTTTAAGTAAACATTTCAATTGGTAAGTATGTAATGGAAATATATTATACATTGGAGAGGACTTTGTACCAAGTAGCTTAATAAAATCATAGTAGACTAAACATATCTTCAGTAAAGTGGTCATTTAAGGTCTGTTTCTTAGTTATGATGCAGGCCAGTTTTGCTTCAGAATTTGATGGGATGCACACCGCCTTGTCCTTAATCTCAGATTACTGGATTCTGTATGCATCACATAAAATCAAAGCCACTGTCATTAAACTGAAATCTTCTTTGCCATTCATGAAGAGATACGGTGTGGATTCATGTTTAAAGTTCTTACTACGTTGAATGTTTGTGGTTTATTTATAATGAGTAAGATGTGTACATCATACACACACCTAAATACATATATAATGTGTGTATAACTATAAAAAATCATTTGTCTTAAAAAAGTATCATGAGTAATATCCAAGTAGATGCCAGAAACTATCTGTTCCTTGTGAATTTTTAAAATTTAAGCTTCAGATTTAAGTTACAACTGTATGTTATTGACACGAGCAAAAGGTATCTGAAACGATTATTTTTGAGCATCCATGGCATGACTTGACAATGTGCGGTGTACGTAACTTACCATTTATACCACTGGTCTTCCTATAGCTGCATGAAATAAAGTATATTTTACAACTGTTTCGATGACTGTTTCTCTGTGTACTTCTTAGAATGGGGATAATTTCTCTTGTTTCAACTTTGTCATAATTTTACAGGATTCAAGCCAAAACTCGTGAATTTAGGGAACGGCAAGCTCGAGAGCGTGACTATGCTGAAATCCAGGATTTTCATCGGACGTTCGGCTGTGACGATGAGTTGATGTACGGGGGGATTGCTTCCTACGAAGGCTCCATGGCTCTCAACGCCAGACCCCAGAGCCCAAGAGAAGGGCACATGATGGATGCTTTGTACGCCCAAGTCAAGAAGCCGCGGAGTTCCAAACCCTCTCCTGTAGACAGGTAGGCTCCGGGAGCAATCACAGTATTGCTTCCAAATCAACATTTATGTGGTATCTGGCAAGGAAGTAGATTGTTCGTCAGCCCTCACCCCAGAACTGCCTTTTATTAATGACCTTTAAAAAGCTGTTGTGTGTAAAAGTATTGAGTTTACACAAATCGAACCCTAATGGAAGAAGCAGCAGAGGTTTTGATAGCTTTTCTAATGATTCCAACATATTTCATCTCATTCTTAAAATGGTTTTAGAGTTGAGAACCAACCTTTCGTTTATAACGCAAATAAAAAGCAAACTTGAAATGATGGCTCTTCTACTTAAGCGATATTTCCTTTTATTACTGAGAGAACGTCTAGTTGTGGCAATTAAATAGATGGGAAAGGACATGATTTATTCCAATTATGATTTAAGAGGGCCACTTTTTTTGTGGCCTAATTTTATATTATGAAAGAATTAATAAATGAAAAGTATAGTATAGCCTGTGTTCAGATTGCTTGTTAACAGCCACAGACCGCAGGTCTGAGTTATGTGTATCAGTATAGCGCATAGGAGGGCAATGTTAGCTATATTTTTTTTTTTTTTACTGATGATAATTTACATATTTATGGAATATATGTGAGTATTTGTTACATGCACAGAATGTGTAATGATCAAGTCAGGGTATTTTGGATATCCATCACTTTGAGTATTTATCTGTTAACTGTGTTTTAATGGCTAAATATTTATTTACAATTTTAACTGACTGTAAGGCTATATATTTATTGGCTATATATTTATTGGCTATATATTTATTAATGACTGTATATTATTGGCTATATATTAACAGCAATATGTTTATTGACTATATATTATATTAATGGCTATATATTACTATATATTTATTTCAAATCTTAAGCAATTTTAAAGAGATCTTTTTTCACCCCTCCAGGTGTATAGTCAAACACCTTGTAGAGTTTAGTTCACAAAGAAAATAATCCTCTTTTCCTTTTATATCAGACATAGGCATGTTACTGTCATAAACAATACACTAATTCTATCAGGTCTTAAATGGATTCTTAGAATCATTGCTCTATATGGGAGTTGGGCTTTAAGCATCATAAATAGCAGCTTTCATTGAAACCGACACCTCTCAAGCTTTAGTGCTTTCGTGTGTATCTGAATCACCTGGGGGGCTTCTGAAAACACTGATTGATTAATTCTTTCCCAAAATTTTGATTAAGTAGATCTGGGATGGAGCCCAAGCATTTCCGTTTCTTACAGATTCCTAGGTTCGATGCTGGTACCCACCAGTCCTGGGGAATTCCCTTTGACAACCTTTGCAAGGCTGGAGATGTACTGGAATTCTTTCGTCTATAACACCCATGTGTTATTGTTTACTACATTTTGCAAGCAGTCCATATTTTAGTTACTTACTTCCAACTATTTGTAATAGAGGTTTGCAAATGCAACAGGTAACCCCCAGGCAAACCCAGAAGGAAGCATTTTAAAAAATAGCAAATGAAGAACTAGATCTTATGGTGAAACTCTAATCAACGATTGTTCTGTTGCTTTGTTTTCTTTTCATTTTGGGAGGTTTTAGATTTTCTTTATTGTCTTATGAAATGTATTTGATGTTGACTGCAATGACTAAATAAGTTAACATAGAAAGCTTATGGTTTATTTAGGCCCCATTGGTGTAATCACCTAGAAGGCTCACGTGCTTATTAACTGCACATAACACAGATAAGTGAGAATTCAAAGAGTAAAGTTATTATCGGCGACGGTGACATTTTCTGTAAAAGCTTTTGTACTTGATTTCTGCTGTACTTGTGAGTGCTGCTTGCAGAAGGTCAAACAGCATTTGAAAGCCATGCCTGTCCCATTGGAATTGTTTTCTTGGGAGAAAGGACACCAGAGCACTGACGTTGTCAGTTAGTAACTTTCAGAGGAACTGAAAAAAAATGAGTTGACGTATTATTGATCACCGATGAAAGCACTCATCATTTTCAGCACCTTCCACATCTAGTTTGAAAATCTAAGAAATAGTAGATATGCTTGTAGCAGTTATTCATGTGGCTTAGAAGTCTCACCTGACTTCAGAGCCAGGCGTCAGGAGGGATCTATCTCCCAGCAACCAAAGTCCAGAAATGGTTGCTTTAAACCCCAGGGCCCTACAACAGGCTAATTTCTGCAGATTTTCAACAGGGCTTCTGTGCTCAGAACCCCCCTGTTTCTGGCTCCGGCAACCCTGCCTGCAGCCCCTGCTCTGCACCGTATCAACCCCAAACTGCAACTCGGCTTCCTAACTAATTTCCATCAAAAACCCGCCCAGCAAAACATTGCAGAGGAGGCTTTAGTCGTAGGGATGAGTCACACACACTAAGCAGTACATAATTCAAAATCACATCTTAGACACTGCTGTATTCAAAAGCTCCTCTCAGCCTCACTCAAGCACAACCTCGGCAGCTGTCAGATACATTATACTTTTATGCATCCGTGCCCCAAAAGGGTGATTGAACAAGAGGATTTCTAAGATGCTTCCAACTCAAGAGAGACATAATTAAAAAAAAGAGAGAAAAAAAAAAAGGATCACAGAAACTTTAGTTCTTTGTAATTATTTCTGCAGAGAATAAGATGTCCTTTAAAGGACTGAAGTTACTAAACCAAAAACGTTGGGAATTTTTACACCTGTAAAGTACTTTTTCACCTACCTGTAATGAATGTGAAGTAGCTTGGAAATCATGGTATCTCCTCCATGGTGTTTGTTT